AATATCACGTTGCTATCCATGAAAGAATCACCTCGACGGGGTGTATTTACCCCACGGGTTTTGGAATTTACATGAACCGCAACCGGTTTAGCCGCGGGAAACGAGACTGGGCGCAAGTTATCAGACGAGGTTGAAGCAAGTGTAGGGGAATGATGCGGTCTTTGTTTTAGGTTCATTTACATTTCAAAGGCCTTCGTCAACTCTTGGCTCCATGACCCGCTGAAGAAGGAACAATCACGGGATACTCCTATCGGTCCGGTCCTACTTGAATCTATTGGGACATTAGTGCCATCGAAATTGCCCCCAAGTATAATTCAAGCAAGTTACCGCTTGACATTACAGTCTTCTTGAGCGAACATGGAAATCAGATTGGCTGCTATTCCTGGCTTCACGCAGCAAACGCATACCTACATTCCATCAGTCGCGGGAGCACTACTACAATCGTTACCCCTTGGTTGAAAATCGCTTACGACTTAGTCGAGCGCGTTTAGCTCTTACGGTACCTGGTTTTGAATGATGCGCGGGTAACACTTTTAGTACCCAAATCTGCTCACTGCGATTGCCGGCAAACCTTGCTTTGAGTTCGCCAAGAGAAGTGGAGGTAGTGCTGCTGCAGCGCTGGTAGTGCAATGCAATGAGAACGAGTTGAAGACACTAGTGAATAGCCCCTCATGTCAATCAGTCCGTGCAAACAGCGAGCAGTGATGCTGTCTTATCTTCACGAAAGTCCTCTATTCGCAACCGTGTTGCGGACAAAGTACAGCCGCTGACTTCACCTTGGAAGCTGTATCTAACACCAAGTCTTGTCTTTCTTTGTTACTGTCCCCCACTTCCAGGTCATCACGAGTGTGTGACAAACATTCGATCAAACTACTTGTTAACGTCGATAATGACAAAGGGTTTTGGAGCACCCGCCGTGTATCTTAAACTGCGACCCGCAATCTAAATTAAGGCTGTGCTTCAAGCGTATACCGGTTTAAATTCGCTAGGCGGTAGATCTCAACTGACACTGGGAATTTGTGAACTGGCTATTCGTTCCTCACTATCATGCCCTTTGCTTGTGTCTACGGAGCAATCCAAAACCGGAAAAACCAACGCAGGTATCGTGCAAAAACCGAACAAAACAGAGCAACGTCTTCTTCAAGTGTTGCTTGAGCAGAAATAGGAAGGTGACTGGGAGGACATTAGTCCGAGCCTTCCGTTGAATAGCCTACCGGTAAGGTAAAAAGGTGAAGTCAGGGAGTCGTGCACACTGAGCCGGTGTTTACTGTTTTGTGAGCTGCCAATGAGGTGTCTAGCAGAGATAAAGCGAACTTAGTGACGACACGTCTGCTACATCGCAAGTGTTAAACGCACATACCTGGTTGTTTACGAAGAAACCACTGACCAGGCTAAAACCAAAGTCTCGATACAATGCTGCAAAACTATTTGCTGAAGCGCAATAAACCCGGCGTCAAGGCAGCTCTACAGTAACTTACATGTCTGGAATCGCTTCCGGTTTGCCATTTCTTGCACATAAACGCGAGCCATTTTTATCGCAGTGACAAGGGTAAATTAACAGGGTGCGAATTGCATATACACCAGAGCGTCTTGTTAGAAGGGCACACAAAAGGGAACTGTGATGCGGAAATACTGTCAGCGCAATTAGTCCAATTGGTGAACATCAACTGTTTGCTGAGCTCGTCAGTCTGACTGCAAACGTTTTACCACTATCCGAGGCGCGCTACTATGTAGCGAAGGAGCAACACGATATAAAGAGTGTGTGCTTCCGGTAGTCATGTGCGTAATTCATCGCTTGGACGCAGTAGCTATCAGTCTGAATTCGGAATGTCCGACAGTCACAAGACCAACCAATACGATCAAAAGAAATATTAAGCAGGTGCGATATACGCAGCACTACTGGGGAAAGATAACCAAATTAATCAACTGAACCTAACGGAACAGAACGCTGGACAAGCACGTCGGACGGCCAAGTCAAACACAAATGTACGCGTACAGACGTTTTTTTAATTTTCTTCTCACCTTAGTATTATCATTATTTAGCTGACATTCCCCCTCTTTTTTCGTAGCTTACCCTTCACTCTTTTACTTCACATAAACCGGCCTGGCAGGGACTGCCGGGCAGGAAAATGTGGGCAGGGTGTGATGCGGTCTTTGTTTTAGGTTTTTCAACATCTCAAGCAGACCTGTCAATTCCCGATCCAACGATACGCAAAAGAAGAAACATTCACGGGATTATCCTATCGTTCCGGTCCCAACTGAACTTGAACTTGAGGCACGAACCAGACGTCAATTTTGATAACCATGTGCTCGTCGAACAATCGGAACTAAGACTGACGGCTCGTCTGCCTAAGCGATCGATCATGAGCAGGACCATTCGACGAACACCTAATAACACTTGTCATCGCGTCCCTACGCCATATGGTGACACACCGATGTCACTCCAGATGGTGATGAAAAGCTGACAGCAAAACTGACGAGCTCAGCAAACATCATTCACCATCATACTCGTCAGATTAGCTATTGTGCCGTAATATATGAATTAAAAAAGGTTACAAAGGCGCGCTAGTCCCCGGTAACGGATGGAGATCATTCCGGAGGGTTAACACCCGAATATTGTGCCGCAAGAGACATGCTTAGTTAATGAGATCGTGGTCGGAGATGTTAAGCGGGAAGATAAGGGATAAAGAAACTCACAACACAATTGCCAATGTGGTCGGCTCCTAGCCATATCAACAGATGTATCCAGCCAAACGTGTTCATCGTCAACCAAGAAACCGAGAAGCTCCAACCGAGCCAACTTCGAACTAGTGGCCTCCATTCCTCTTGCCAAGTCGTCGCTTGGTCACACCCTCTGCGAGCAAACAACTACGTCGCGGGAGTCGGTGTGCTTGTATGCGCAACACGTGACCTAGCCACCGGAGCCTGGTCAGTAATATAACGGTGCGGAGCGGTTCCCTTCCTCTCCCTATCCATAATCTAGGAGTGGAACACACATTGTTCAAATGGTGATTCTACCTAATATGAGAAAAAATGTGAAGGCACCGGAGAGACTGTTGACTGATCTAACGGGCCAGGTTTCACAATCGTACTGTAAGGTTGAACGTTCGACTGCATTGTACGCCCTTCAGGGAAGGTGATGTCGCGTCGGCGCCTTTAGTGGCGGTTAGGAAAACCACCTCGTGCTTTTGCTATACGGCTTGTGATCTCGTTTACAACTGCAACGGCGCTGATACGACTACATAGGTAGTTGAATTTCTGGACGAATTCTAGCCCATCCCACCAAGGGTCAGCGCTGGAGGCAGTCCCTGCAAACCTCGGAGAAAAGCACTTCGAGGGCGCAAGGCACAGCCCGATACGGCTGACAGCCAGTCCCAATCTGCCCGCTGCCGCTTGGCACGTTTGTGAGCTGTCACAAGAGCGCAATGTCATTAGCATATTCCAAGTCAGGAAGTTGCTCACCTGGAAGCAGATCTACATCTAAGTCATGTACTGCGAAAGAAATCTCTGACTTGGTCATGGGACGGTCCCATGGAAGGCCCTATTAATCTACTTGAACTGAAGACGATTCTTACAATTATTTTTACTATCAGCTCTTTCTTACACAACTCTTACTTCATAGCAAACTCAAAACACTTCAGATGAAACATCGTTACACCTAGATAATTTTCTCCATGTGATTAGGTACAATATCGCCAGACCACGTAATCGGTCTGCGTCTCGTGATGTCGAGAAATAAACCATTTATTTATAGCGAAGTCGAAGTGGTAATCCCGGGTAATCTGGGGACATCGAAGAGCTGTGACAGCGTGCCGTAACCGTGCACGGTTCCTGGACTACGCGTACAACGCACGGATTTTACTTCTTTTTCGGACTTTTCCTCGGCAGAATCCTAAAGGGCAAACGGACCCCGAACGTCTACTTAAGGCTAGGATGCATTCAATGGATTATTGAACGATTAGAGGGGAACTAATTCCAACCTTTCGTATTTTAACTGGGAAGGTTGGCACTGATTTGTTCTGGCTATTTGGCCCTGATAGCTTACCTGGTCTACGCGGGAACTCTATGATGCTGGACAACGTGTAGTCCAGTAGAGTTTGGGCGGAGACACGATTATCGCTTTGAGTCATCAAGCGCTGGAACTTGCTTCTAGAAAATATTATCTAGGAAACTACGGTTAAGGGGTTTCAGCGTCAATTAGATGCTCTTGGGTGGCAATATGAAACCTTTTCTTTTTCCTGACTAATTCCCATCTTCATACTGCGATGGTATTTTCTATAGTTTCCCTCACCATTGATATTATCCACTTTCTGTAACTGATTTTGCTTACACTTTACCTTAGATACTTCCACCAATTTTACTTCACGTAACTGCATAGCAGGGACAGCTAATGGAAGAAACTTGAGCATAAAATTGGTGGACAAGGGTGTTATCGTCTTACATCTATCAAGTCGGAGCACTCCTATCAATTCCTGGATCAACGACCCGCTCAAGAAGGAACACTCACGGGATCCATACTATTGTTCTAGTTCCACCGAAACTTCATAGATCAACCGAATCGAAGGCATCTTTGATGTCGAAAAAACAAGACAACGGTTGGCCGGTTTGCAACCGTTAGGTCGCCGGTTCGAATCCGCGTATGTGGGGACGTCCTCGCGCTATACTCAGCCGGTGCGCGACAGCGAAGCGCCGTACATCTCCAACAATTGGCGTTAAGTGAAGATGTGACCACTGTTACCACAAATATTACATGCATCGAACGGTCGGGACTCGAGGTGTGAAAAAAACACCTAGGGATAACGAGACGTAGATCATGCAAGTGAATCCAGATCAAAATGAAACACAGTGGCGAGCAACATTAGACAACCGAGCAGAAAACAATCTATGCCACACTAGCAAAAAGCACACGGTTTCCCCAGGAAAGTCGCGATGCATGGGAGCAATTGCACAAAGCAGATGCTTTTCATGATAGACCTATCAACGGAAAAGATCGCTAAACACGCTCCTCTGGACGCGACGGTAGGTTGAGGCAGCATCCTAGACAAAGAAACAAGCTTAAAACCAGGAAAAGGATTAACTGGTCAGTAAACTACGTCATATGAACGGTGTGCTTCATCAGCCAAAACATGAGGCGGCTAAACACGCAATATGAAAACAATTGTAACGAAGTTAGAACGCGTTTAGGTTCATGACGCAAAAACGAGTAACTTTATGGAACGACGTTTATTCATGTACAAAGCTAGACAATCGCACAACGGTCAATGCAGCTGTAAATACAGATCTGACGAACTGCGGCACCGAGAGGTCGATTGTATAGCCAGGAGTGAATGGGATAAGCAATCAAGGCTAAACTAAAAGCCTTTAAGCAGCAACCCAGTAAGGTGGAACGTTTAGTCTGTGAACATGGTAAAACTGCAACAGATTGATCATTTCAGAGACGGAAAGTCCTTATCACTGTAGATAACTGGAGGGGGTGCGTGTCCCTCCGGAGGGGCAGTTCTGGTGAACCCACGGCCTCGAATATCGCCTCGGAAACCCCTGGGCCTTCCGACGCCTCGAGGACCGAAGCCGCGTCCGCGTTCAAAACCACGACCACCGAATCCACGACCTCTACCTCGATCAAGGTGCCTGTCCATAAACGACACATTTATTTCGAAGTGTTGCTCTTCCTAGAGAGAGTAGTGGTAGAAGGATGAGAGCACTTCCTTACCTCATGCTTTGTCTCGATTTCTTCTGTGCTTTCCTCAGATGCATCAGTTGCTTTACGGTGTGCAACCATATTAGCAAACACGTCCTTGCCATCGTTTGGCTTTCGCCCTTCTTTGGAAGCCAGAGTTATCGTCGGCTTGTTGGCGAGGCGCAGGGCTTTGTATTCCTCCAGAGTGTAACACTTGGGCTCTTCTACATCTACCTCAAGTTCACCGTTAGCAGTTGAGTCCGCTTGGTCGGCGACAGACTGCTCCGCTACAATATGCTCTGCATCCCCGTTTTCAGGAACGGCATCAGTGGTAACACAATCGCCCAGTGCATCTGATTGCTCGTAAGCGTCGCGCCTGAATGGAGACCTCTGACTACTGAAAAGACAAGAAGCAGATATCAGCCGGCTTCTTTAAATGATATCATCAGAAATAGAGTACCGCACCAGATAGGACAGGGATAACTATTCATCACGAACAGGTCAAAACTCACGGATGATCGGGTCCGTTTAAACGCCCCTGCTCGCGGTAATCTGTGTACTGCATACCACGTCCCCTGGAGAATATTCCTCGCGGTCTACCTCGAGCACGTCCGACTGGCCTGCAGATGTCACTGAAGCGTGTAATTACGCATATTTCGAGCTTACTTCTGCGGTAGCATGTCACCGGCTGGCTCGGAGTTATCAGGTGCTAACGGACGCGTAGCAGAATATCGACCTCTGAAACCACGGTTGAAGCCACGCGGGGCACCACGCCCTCGAAATGGCGGTGGGAAGCTAGCCTCCGCATCCTTCGGATTGCGATGTTCCTCCTCTTGCGTTTCCAATGGCTGGTTTAGGCTAGCGGAAATCTTCGGGACGCAAGGAGGCTCTGAAAACATACACATAGGTCTAAAAACTTACCAGTAGCAATCACTTCATTCTGTTGCTCCTTAGGCTCGTTCAGTGCATCGGTTTTCTTCACTTCCGTCAACCCATTCTCGACATGACTGGTCTTTGCCTTCTTTTTGCGCTCCGCTCGTTGTTTCAAAGACTCTCGTAACAATATATCCGGGTCCGTATTACTGAGGTCTTCGTTCAAGAACAGGGAAAACCTGCTCTTCACTTCCACTGAGTACTGGCACCCATCAAAAGCTTCTGCCATCACCATTCGGACGGACAACGCATCGTAGGCGCGATCATCGCAACACCACGGAAGTGAGTAAGATTAAACTAGTCAAACAACGTAATGAATGTCCGTTCAATTAATATCATTTGAGCTTTAGGCGTAATTTTATTTATTTTACTTTACTTTGCTCCTACACCACCGCGCGATTTTTGAAAAATATGGCGCCATTTTTCCGGTACTATCGACTTCAGGTTTCCGAATCAGAGTATTGTAGTAGGATAATTAGATTAACACGTGTGTCACCTCCAGCACAAATGGAGCAAAATGGACAATTTTACACCTTCGATACAATGTCGCCATGCTGCCAATATAGCGCGACAAGCATTTTGTGGTAAAGAGAGCAGAACAAGAGTCCTTTATCAGCTCCGTCGCTTCCCAGTCATTGCGGACATTGCTGAGGTCATAGTGAAAAAAGGGTTCCCTAATGAACCTTAAAGCTATGCTGTGAAGCAATATCCCGGTACAGTTATCAAGTGGGAATACAACCTTTTCTTGAAACTTTCCTCGGACTGCGCATCAACGACGAGATCCGGATGGCGATTACAGTCATTAACCACGCGCTTGGATAGAGCTAGATCTGACCGCACATGGAATCTCCTCTAGTTGAACAATTTCCATGGGTTACCAATTGTCGAACGTTCAATGTTCAGCTGGAAGAACTGTTGTAACTCACTTCCTCGCTCTCCTCTTAGGGTACCTCGAGTGTAGATCAAATCGCCGCGAAGACTACGATAATCCAGAGAGAAAAGGTTTAATCTCTGGAGACGGAGAGGACTAGATAGGCACCGCAGCTCTGGCGTATCTTTTGATTCACGGCGGTGAACCTTCTCAGTCTTATCGCATTCGGTCTTCGTGAGAATCTGGGCAGCCTGCAAACTATACTCGAGCATCGGGCGCACATGTGAGGCAAACAGGAGTCTGACGAGTTCTGGAGTAAGCCGGGAGAATGCTCTTCGTAAGGAATGAAACGTCCTGTAAGCAGCGGCAACCCTTTACCGGGTGTCCTCAGTTGTTTTCAGGCAATTAGACACAACTACTCCGAGGTCCGTTTCCTGGGCGACATTTCTAGGCAGGAAACCTCCAATATGGTACACCCTGAATGGTTCACGAGCACCAATCAAGAGTACGGAACATTTATCCCGGTTGATAGGTAACTGCCATTTTAACGACCAGTCGTGGAGCCTGTCGAGTGTTGCTTGAAGCCTGTTTGCATCCTCAAGTCTGGATACATCAGTCCAAACTTTCAAGTCATCGGCATAAATCAAACATACCCTCTGCAGCTCGGACGGGAGGTCGTTAATAAAGACATTGAAGAGGACAAGACCAAGGACAGAACCCTGTGGGACACCACTGATCATAGGGAAAGGATCAGAAAGCGTATCATTGACCATTGCCTGTGCAGAGCGACTGTACTGAAAATCCGAGATCCATGAGAGAAAATTTCCAGTAACGCCACTTCCGCGGAGGTTAAAGAGAAGCGGCTCATGCGGAACCCTGTCAAAGGCCTTGCTAAAATCAACAAACGCAACATCTAATCTTTTGGCAACATCTTGGGACCTTACCCATTTCTCCCTTGCCACAAGCAAGTTGGTGATGCCTGTTCGAGCGCTTCAAAATTCATGCTGAGCAGAATAGATGATACCTAACTTTTCGAGATGGAGGCATAGAGCGCAATTTATTGCCTGTTCCATAATTTTGCAGACTACAGATGTCAAACAAATAGGACGATAATTCGCTGGATCTTGTCGGTTTCCTCCTTCATAAATGGGCTCCATAATGCACGATTTCCATGGAGCCGGAAGACGTCCAGTATCAAAAGATGGACGGAATAGCTGACGGATAGGTGCAGTGCTGTGCTCAGCTACACTTTTAAGGAACAATGGATGTAGGCCATCAAGGACAGGCGAAGAATACGGGTTTAAATTATTAAACAGTTTCAGTACAAAAGCAGCGTTACTATCTAGGTGCTCTAGCAAAGAAGGCAGAAATGACAAGAAACTGTCAGTGGAAAATGTTTCTGTTGAATACACAGAGGAATATAGCTTAACTAAAAGATTGGATACTTGTGTGTCTTCGTGAACTAAAGCAGCATGCTCACGGGAACACAAGGCAGGGGTGCGACTGCCGGTTCTGATACTTGCTTAATGTACGAGAAAGGCGCTTTGGATGTGGTCCTGGAAAGAGTAGCTAAAGCCAGTTCGTACAGTTGACGTTTCTCCCGTCTCTGAGAGGTACAAACATGCTTTATTGTTTTATAACGAGAATAATCGAAGTCTGATTGCGTTAGATTAAATCGGTTCCACAGTTTACACGTTTTGTTCACAAGGGAGCTTAATTGGCGATCTATCCAAGATGGGCCTTCAGAAAACGGTCTTCTCTTGGAGACAGAGACGATCTGTTCGATGAGCCATATCAGCATGGGGTACAAAAGATTCCGCGCATCATCAACACTGCGATGCCCAGGGATGCTCCAATCCCCGACGCTTGCAGTCGTTTTTAAACGAAGCGCGTCTACACACGCCAGAAATTTTGGCGGTTGGCACATTGGTTGTGGACAGCGAAGCGACGAGTCCACTGAAAAGAAACAGCACAGTGATCACTTCTGCCAATGGGCTCGATAACAGCTAAGTTATGATGTCTGATTGCGCTGAGGAAAACACAAGGTCTATAATGCGCGGTGTCTGGTCTGGGAAACTACGAGTTGGCATCATGACATGCTGAAAAATGTTGCAATTCAGGACGGTTTCGATTAAGGTGGCATCGAAGTGGTCGGATGGGCGATCACAAAGAAAGAAATTCCAATCGATATTTGGTGCATTGAAACCCTCTACCGCCGTGTGGCCTTATCGAGTCCAACAACCTAGCCCCGGAGACTGATGGCGCCCTGTAGACGACGTCAATCAAGTGAGATCTATATCCGTCATGCACACGGCACCAGAGGGCTGCAATATTTTTATCATGGTCACCAATAGCTTCAACCACATGCGTTTTGAGCTCCGCCTCCCAATAAGGCATTACGACACTACCAGACCTTCCGCCGTGGAGATCAGACCTGATGAGGTGATATCCAGGAATAGACACCCCTGAGTTTGTGATTTCTGAGTATAAACCCGTTTCAGTGAAGGCCATCAGGTCTGGATGAGTCTCTCAGGCAAACAAACGAAACTCGTCTAGCTTATACCTTAAACTTCGCACATTAGCGGATAACAAGTGCAGTCCGTTCTGATGGTTTACTGTCCGGGAGCGAGGAGAATGGGCCTCCAACGTGTTTTCGGGGTCCTCCGAACTACTCAAAAATCCACAATGTGAAGGTCTGTTTCACCAATTCCCCGTCTTTCATCTAGTGTTTCTACAGTCTTTTTCATTCTGACTCAATCCTCCGGAGAGAGGTCAGGAAATACGTAGAATGGCTCACGTTTGAGACACGAGGTCCTTCGCGGAATGCGTCGGCATTCCTTCTCATCCCATTAAACGATTTTATGGGGGCGAGGCCTCGAGGTATCTTCTTGCTTTTTACCAAGATGGAAGTCAGATACAATATTGATACCTGTTCGCCTTCATCAAATAGCAACGAGAATAACCGCTCAAGCAGTGTTTTGTCATCCAGTATTCTCTCCGCGGGGGTTGCTTTTCCTGATTCCGCTGCGTTCATGTTAGTGATGAGAAAACGGTCGCGAGATGTCTGGGTGCGCTCAGGAACTTGTGGCTTTCTAAGGGACGGATTTTCCCTAACTGATTTCTCCAGCTCGGATAGTCTGTCGAGAACTAGGTTCATTTGAGACTGAGACGATAGCTTTGGTTTGGGTTTCTCGACTGGCTTAGGCCTAGTCTTGGTGCCACTTGTAGTTGGGCTTTTGCAAACAGGAACGGAGGCCACGCTTTCCCTTCCAACATGGGCATATCTATCTATAGTGCGGTCGCAAAAAACTGTCCTCCTGCGTTATTCGCCTCCAAATCTTTGGATTTATTCTCACAGAGACCTACGTGCCATCATTCGATTTGGCTCCGCGAGCTCCTCCTACCACTGTTCATCTATTGGATCTATCATTCACGGATCACCAACAAACTGTGCTCTTGGAACTTCGAAGTCAACCGTATTTGAAGCTTATCGGATGTTTTATTTTGCCTCTCGTCGCATAAGAACTCTTGTGGTCTTATTTTAAAGATCTTTTCGAGAGTCAACCGATCAGCTTACTACCATTCCTTCAAGTCACTCTACAAAGCGATAGTCGTCAATTTGCTCTGCATTTGGAACTGCCACTGTCGTCACTAGACAGCATTTTCCAAGTCACCTTGCTTTGCCTCAGTCGCTTTGTCTCGCATCGCTGTCTACCCGTCTGGATGGATAGCACGCACATCGCCTGGACCTGCTGACCTCAAACCAGCGCCGATCGCCACGCAGCGGTGCGTCAGTATCTCCATCCACTTCCTACCCCTACTGAGAACATGTCTCGTATGAAAAGCAAATGCGAATCATGTGCTAAAGTGGTGAAAAATGGTCTGGTATGTACCATGTGCTTGAAAACCTATCACACTACCTGCCTTGGGAAGAAGTCCACGGAAGCAGAGTCGCCTTGGTTCTGCCAAGTATGCAAGTCTATTCCATTTGTTAGCTGTCTATCTGTGCTACTGAAGAGGTGTGAAAGACTAACCGAAGTGGTCGAGCAACTGGTGAGCGCCAGAGTTACACCCATGGGAGGAAACGGACCTCCACTTGTGAGTGAAAATAACACCCCGAACTCACTAGTCAGGCCGAAGAAGCGAGCCAGGCGTCCCAACCCAACCCCAACGACTCAGCCTCCAGCAGTATCAACTCCGTTCTCCCTCCCTCCTATAAGTAAAAGCAGTGCCTGCAGCGCGCCTGCCTCGACTTCTGTTCTGTGTGCTGCACCTAGTAGTCTGTTCACTACACTCAAGACTGTAAGCCATAGTCAACCAACAATAGTGAACAACCCGGCAACGTACGCATCGGTTGCTGCCAAGCAAACACCGGAAAGAGCACCGGTAACTTTTGTGCCCGAACTAGAGAAA